AGGACATAGCCGCTGGACATTGTGTAGCGCCGCTTCTCTGTTCAAGCTGTTAAATGCATTGCGAGCATCCACCAACAGCACTCCATCTGTCTCCTCGTCATTGTAAATCTGCTGCACCGCATGCACGGCCGCCTCTATCCCAGCTGGTTGGCCCGCACACTTCTGGATAAATCCGCAGGCTTTCTCAATATCCGGGGCTGCGACACGAAGTACCGCCTTAGCAACAATGCGCCTCAGCACCTCGCCAACCCCGATTGGGCGGACCCCAGGCTTCTTGTCCAGTGCAATTAGCCGACCAGCAAGAAATGGAATGAGGCCCTCCGATGGTATGACACGGGTCGCAAGCAAGCGGGCGCAATCAGCCATTGCTTCGCAAAGGCGTGTTGAGGCTCCTTTGAACGCCAAACACATGCGGCGCAAGGCAGCAGCATCCAGACCGGAAGGGCCAGCGGAGCCTTCTGTGTGCTCGGCGATAGACTTGAGGAGATCCGGGGTCAATGGGTCAAATCGAATGCCGTCCACCTCGGGGGGCTGTCCACTCAACAAGACTTCCGGGCTGGCAGCCAGCCTCTCTGGGTGCTTCTCCTGAAGAAGGTCCCTGACAGAGCTTCGGGTGCCGTCCTTTAGAGTGACCATGTCGTCTATTTTGAGCACTCCACTGTCATCATTCCCGCTATCCAATGAGCGCAGTGCATCGTGTACTCTTCCCTTCCTCATGTGTTCAGCAAACATGCGGGCTCTGTCACTCTCTCCTTGCCTCTTGCCACCCGGCCTAGAGCGAAACAAGGTGTCCTGCAGGCAACGGCCCTCCGCAAGCAGTGCATCCAAATCACCGCCCCGCCACAAAGCCATCCGCCTCTGAAGATGGTCAGCGTTAGCCTTAGCTTTGCTCTTACTGTGAGTCACCTGCAACATCAACGATGGCAAGACCGACAGATTATACATAGCACTCGCATTGGTGCCTGCCGAGTCAACGAAACTGCGAAGTTGTGCGGCAATGAGGTTGACAAAATCCTTTCCAACGGACCCTGTTGGAATCTTGAAAAATCTCTTCCTCCAATGTACAACCTCGTCAAACGCAGAACTGATTGCTGGGCTGGGCGGATCTAGCCGAAGTGCAGATCCCGACGGGCCCGACTGGCTAGAATGGTTGGAGGAAACTCTCTCCGGAGGTGGATCGGGCACAGAGTTAGCCTGACTCCCCAGCAAATCAACTGAAGGTGCCGTAGCCACTAGCGGTGGCATGTCCTGGCTTGGTGTTGACGCTGGCGAAGACGCTGGTGCTGACGAAGATGAAATTTCATGTACTCCATAGCGCTGTGTTTGCGGCTCAGAATTTTCACTGCTGGGGTACACTCTCCTCAGCCATGCAGGGGGCTGATTGTGCCAGTCAGCACCTCGGTCATGGTCGCTAGTCACACCATGACCATGACTGGCAGGCTGAAGCGCTGAGCTATCACCACCCAGACTATCAGGTCGGCTGTTAATAATAGCGCCGACATTAGCGCTGCCACTCAGACCATCGCTCTGGCTGTAGGAAGAGCCAGCTCCGAAACCAGGAGGGGCAGCGACACCTCTTGTCCTGTTTCGACACGTTGATGGAACGTTGCGACTTGGATAGCAATCCACACATGGGTTGTTAGAAATCTTGCACGCACATCTCTGGCACTTCCCTGTTAGTTGACACTGACAGCAAGGCATTACTGCTACCGGAGACGCCAGCTGGAGTAGGGATGCCGGCACGTCATACAGGCGCGAAGACTGGTGATTTCGCTCAGACCTGGACGCCAGAAGCTGGTGAGACTCTGGTAACACAAAGTATGAACAGAAACCAAAGAAAAAAGAGAACAAAACCCAACACAACACGGGAAAACAACAGCAGAGTAGCGATCTCATCCGAGTCTTCTTCTCCAGCTTCTCCTCCAGCCTCCAAGCAAATCCAGCACACCGTCAGAGCTCCAGAACGCCCAACCGACTCCCAACCGATGATGATGATGATGATGATGATGATGATGATGATGATGATGATGATGATGATGACTTTGATCACTTTGCGTTCCTTTTTATATTGAGTTCCAGTGCACTTTGTGTTCATTTTCCTCTCTTTTTTCATTCTATTTGAATTTTGATGTATTGCGTTTTTGCTTGCCCGTAGAAGAGGCTGTTCAAATGATGATGATGATGATTTTTTTTTTTTTTTTTGATGATGATGAAGCCACTTCTTTGGGCAAACAAAACACAATTTCCCAAGATGAAGGAGTGGAACCCTACACAAATAATAGTTTAAATGAATCCAACGCAAAGATCGTTTTTCCATGAAATACAACAATTGAACACAATTACATGCTTAAAGGCATGAAAGCAACAAAACAGCAACAAAACATCACATTTTTTAAATAACTATTTGGTAAAGTAACATCATCTGTCATTCAATATCTATCTGGTAAAATAATCAGCATTTGCATTTGAATATCTACTTGGTACTAATCATTCAACTGTT